TTGATTTTGGGCTCTCCACCTGGTTTATGACTGACTTGTGGAGCATCTGTATCCATATCTACTTCGGCTTTGTCATCAGCTTGACCAAGAAGTACTTGTGTCCATGCTCTCAACCCAGCTTGTAGACGAACTCCTAGTATTCTCTCAATCTAGGATGCAAATATGTTCAACAATTGTATTACTTGACAGCATTGTTTATTTTTATTCATATTTTAAATGAAATTTGTTTGCTAACGGTTCCACTGAAATGCTACAGAATATGCAACAGAAGAGCTAGTTAGACACAGTTCACGTAATACATGGAGTCATAATGACTTAGATCTGCGACTGCCATTTTTAGCAATTGTTAGAAGTTATGATGGTACAGAAAAAGTAATTCTATAGCTAGTCCTCACATTTACAACCACTCCAGCATCTCCATGGTCTGTGATCAAGATTTGGGTGCTTTGCAACCAGTGGATGTTTATGACAGTTGCAATGTCCCATAGTTATGTGATTGTAATTTGTGCGCTTCACACCCAGCTTCAAGAAGCAAAGTGAATGGAGAAGCTGACAGTAAAACTGCAATTCATAGACACATAGTGTCTTGCTTAACAACTGCAGCTAGTGAGGTCATAGGTCTGTGTAGTGACATGACGTCTCACTTAATGACTGATGCTTGACTAAATTGCCAGTTTCAATTGTGACCATTAAGTGGGACTATCTTAACATAAAACAAGTATCAATATGACTGAATATTACATGAAAACTGAAAAATTTGGAGAACTTAAAATCCCTTTAAATTTTAAAGTAAAATATGGTTAAGTATGATATTTCCAAATATTATTTGTGGGTTACTGACTAAAATTTGACATTTTAAAATGTTACCCTTAATATGATTCCAATAAGTCTGAACAGTTTAGAAAAGGTGCCAAAGTAAAATCTAAAGAATTCACGATCAACAAAATATATCTCTACCCTTGAAAAGCATTCGGAGACTGCAGCTAGTCCAAAATGCGGCCGCGCGAGCGATATTGGGTGTACCAAGGTACACCCATGTTACACCTGTCCTCCGCGAGCTGCACTGGCTACCAATTGGTCTCCGGATGCAATTCAAGGTGTTGGTTATTACCTTTAAAGCCCTACATGGCTTAGGGCCAGCGTACCTTAGAGACCACCTACTGCCACATGCCTCCCTGCGGCCAGTAAGATCCCACAGATTGGGCCTCCTTCAGATGCCGTCAGCCAGACAGTATCGGCTGACAGGCCCCCGGAGGAGAGCCTTCTCTGTGGCTGCTCTGACTCTCTGGAATCAGCTACCCCCAGAGATCCGGACCATACCCACTCTCATTTTTTTCAGAAAAGTTGTAAAAACCTGGCTGTTCCGGTAGGCCTGGGGCTTTTGACCTCATTGTTGAGGTCCAGCCCCGGTTAGAATGAATGCATGTGGCTTTGTGTTTTTAAACTGTCTTGTTTTTTATTATTTTTTCTTTCTCTTTTTCTTTTTTTGTAAGCCGCCCAGAGTCTTTCGGGATTGCGCAGCATATAAATTTTAATAAATAAATAAATAAATAAATAAATAAATAAATAAATAAATAAATATCCTTGCCACTGCTATATTGGATCACGTAGCTTAACAATTTTAGCAGTGTGCTTAATAACCAAGAAAAAACGTATTTCTAGAACCGGTTGTTTGTTCAATTCTTATTGTCTTTTATCTCATAGAACATTTAGTCATTCTTCAATATGCATTTATTCATGTTGTCATCTGAACAGAAAAACTGATAAAAATAGTATTTTTATCAATCATAAGCAAATAGATCAAATTTTAAAAATTTAAGCCTAAATAACATTGTACTATTATGTATGTTTGCATATACAGTGAAGACTATTTTCAGGCAAGTGTATCAACTTGGAATTTAGAATAGAAAGGAAAGAAAGAGAACTATGGATTCAATCACCTATTCATGTTTTTCCCCAAGATATAAGCCAGAGATATTAGGAAGAAATACAGTCAGTGAAGCTTACCTCCATATCTAACTTATTCACCCAAATTGGCAAATTGGAATATGAGTGAAGATTCAGATCATCCACAGCCTTCTGAACTCTGTTTAAAATTTCAGAGAATGTTTTGTGATCATACATGCATGTTTCCAAGGATCTGACTTCCAGGTCTATTTTCTCTTCAATGATAAGCAGGTCATCCACCTAGAAGATAGAAAATAAGCCTTTAGTACTTAATTCTTCTCTCCCAAACTTTGGAAATGTAATTACGTAACAATTAACTTTATAGTCATTGGGCAAAGCAATTATGTTTGCAAGTGTAAGTGGTAAAAGGAAACCAGGCTGTCAGAGAACACGGTGGCCAGACACTATGAAAGCTGACACAAGCCAGAGTAGAGGAAAACTCAAAGACATAGTGAAAGATCAGAAGGTGCGCAGAGATCTGGTGTCAGCACCTATAAAATCGCCAAGAGTCAACTGTATGTATAACATCATCATCATAATTTACAGAGCTAGTTTGATCTAGTGGTTAAGGCACCAGGGTAAACTAAGATTCTGTGATTCTAGTTCCACCTTAGGTATGAAAGCTGCCTGGATGATTTTGGGTCCCTCCCAGCTCATGATGTCAGGCTTCCATGATAATACTTGGTTAATCCGAAAAGTGGATCCTGCATTTGCAGGAAAATACTAGAAAAGGGTGTGTGTGTGTGTGAGTAGCATAAATTGTAACTGCTAAGTCACCTAGATATTTTAGTATATTTAGGAATTGATACGTCTATTACTTTGATCTCTAGAGAAATGCCTGCAGAAACAGAAGATGTAGTGAGATTTTTTAAAATATGCAATGCTCTCACTGAAACATTACTGGGTCACTCATCCATTTAAAGCCCCAAACTTGAAACAAGTCTGACAATAAACTAACCTTTTCCTGGAAGTTGAAAACCGTCTCTGCCAATCGCTGAACGTAAGGATCCAGTTTGTAAGATTCCCATACCAGTGCAATGCCCTCTGCAATCAAAGCCTGCACTTCTTTTTTAAGACCCGCAACCAAGAGAGAAATGGTATTTCGTTCTTCTACTTTTTCACAAGTACGTTCGTATGTGCGAACACTCTCAATCAAAGAGATGGCGAAAGGATAGAGCTGATTGGCTTGGTGAGCTTTGTTGACTATTGCAAGAGGAACCCGAAATCCAAGCCACTTGAGGTTACGGACTTCTTTGGATAGTGTAATTATTTCTGGGAGGAAGTTAACCTTTAGCTTGAGGACATTTCCTGTTCTGCCTCTCACGCGAGTGCTCTCAATGGTAAAAATGCGCCCAGAGACACCAAGGTTTCGCTGCTGAACCTTCCGAGCCCAATCATCAAATATTTCTTGAGTGTTGAGCTTCATACGGAAGCTGTCTCCATCTTGCTTTAGCTTCTGTCCTTCTACATGGTTTTCCCAGCCCTTCCCAAGAACATCTTCAACACGCTTCATGTAAGCCGTAAGTTGCCTGTCAATCTGTTTAGCCCAGATGATAGACCCTGCGACAGGAGGCAAATCTCGAACATGACTCATTTTGCAAGCTTGACTTTGAGGATACTGAACTTTGAATTTGTCATGAAGTGATTCTATGTCGTCTTTCACACGTTGGATTAACTGTGTTTGGTATTCACGGATGGCACCTCTAATATGTGGCCGAACAAACAGAGCATTAAATCTGGAGAAGATTCTGAACATTTCATTGGCATTCTTGGCTGTGCCAAGCTGATCCCTGAGGCGAGCAGTAATGCGGGTTTCAACTCTATCAATTCTTTCATCGTATCTTTTCATTGCAGCTTCCCAGGCTTCTGTACCTTCTTTGGAAACATCCAAGCCATCTACTTCTTTCACATTCTCATAAGCAAGATTTACTTCCTCAATTGCATTAGCATCAGCGGCGTCAAACAACACTTCTGCTACTTTCATATCTTGAGGCTCAGGCACATCTCCCTGATTTTGCTGGGCCACAGCGGTAACCTATTTAAAGTCATAGCAGTTAATAGGATAGTTATCATTCAGTATTCAGAAAAGTAGGCTTCTAACACTCAAATAAAAAATGGGTCTTAATATTCAACAAGGTTTCTAAAAAACAGCCATGACCTGTTCACTTAAACTCAAGATGCAGCATGCTTGCTGTGAGTTTTCACCATCTATTCTACTCTGCAATAATTATCCCCACTTGCCAATTATGGGAGGATTTTTTTGTCATTCAAACAATTTTTTATGAAGCTGACTTATCCCTTTTCAATTAAAAAGAGCCTTCATTAGAAGCCTATGAAACAAACACCTGCAAGATTAAATGCATGCTTAAGATTTGGAAAACCTATCAATATTTTAACAAAAATGGCAATATGTATTACCTGAGGCCGTAGGACTCTGACAATGACTGCTCTTAGTTGTTCATGCTGTCTCCGAAACTTCCTCATTTGATCAAGACGAGCCTGCAGCTTTCTGTGGGCAGGATTGATACGCCATACCATCTTCAGATTCTCTTCTCGCTTTCTTTTCACAATGTCTCTTAGTAGGACCTGAAGTTTCTCATACTCATCATCCCAAGATTGGAAGACTTCAAAGCATGCAACCATGACCTGAAACAATATTGAATAAAGGAAATGAATATATCCTGTAATTTTTTTTAGTTTATTATGCACTACATAGTTTACTTAAAATCCATCTTAATACAATAGCAGAGTTGGAAGGGACCTTGGAAATCTTCTAGTCCAACCCCTGCCTAGGTAGAAAACTCTATACCATTTCAGAAAAATGGCTATCCAACATCTTCTTAAAGACTTCCAGTGTTGTGGCATTCAAAACTTCTGGAGGCAAGTTGTTCCACTGATTAATTGTTCTGTCAGGAAATTTCTCCTCAATTCTAAGTTGCTTCTCTCCTTGATTAGTTTCCACTCATTGCTTCTTGTTCTACTGTCAGGTGCCCTGGAGAATAGTTTGACTCCCTCTTCTTTGTGGCCACCCCTGAGATATTGGAATACTGCTATCATGTCTCGCCTAATC